TGACTTGTCGCTTGAAAAGTTGTACCCCAACAGTCGCCTCAAGCTCTATACACCTCCACCGGTATGAAAAATTCCTAAACTTATTATTCAAATTTTTAATGCAATCAATTTGCAGCCAACTAAAACAGGAGAAAAATTCTCAGGTTTTATACCCATTAATCAATTGGAAATCACATACAGTCGCAGTTCCGGACCTGGCGGACAGCACGTGAATTGCGTAAACACAAAGGTGGATTTGCGTTTCAAATTGGTAAACGCCGAATGGATACCTGAAAAAACAAGGCAGAAGCTGGTGGAAGGTGTAAGTTAAAAGTAACATCTAGTTTATAAAGCCAAATTATATAATCTAACTGAAATTAAAGTTAAAATTATGTGATTATGAGCCAATTAACTGGACGGGTACTCTTTATGAATTTGTACAACGAATTTGGGTTGCTGTGCCGAAACGCGTGAATGGAATCAAAAACCTTTTACACACACTTGTAGATAACAGTTCACGCTTTATTACAAAAATTTAATTTTTTAAATCTGTGCACTAATTTAACAATGATGTCGGTTGGAAATATGGCATTTGTTGCAAATTTCCGAAACATTCGTACACTGATTACTATTATTCTGCCTTAAAGCAGCCACTTAATATCTTCATTTTTATGTTTATATTTACTTTACACATTACACTATTAGTTGTTAGTTGTTTTATTCCTTTAGTTGAAACTTATTCGTCGCAATTTATTAATTAAAATTGCTATGAAAATCACACGCACATCATCAGAGAGGTGCCTTTTCATAAAGCTTCGTCCATTCCCGTCCGCCCACACCCCTAAATCGTTGTACAAATAGCTAATGATTTCCCAACTGGACTCTTGCGAAATACATTGTATTTAAAAATAGGGAACGTATTTTTTTTGCAAAAGTAGCTGGAATTGACGTAGTTGCAGCTAAATACATACATATGTTTACTCTAGCTAATTTTCTTTCCAAATCCAGTGTTATAAAATAGTTCGTAGATTATTCACAAAGTTTTCAATATTTTCGAAAAAGACGTGCTCATTTGATTAGTTAACGAAATTTCGAAAGAAAAACGGAAAAGAAATAATAAAATTACTGCGCTGTGATGAGATCTTTCAGAAATTTCTTAAACAAAAAAACTGCGGGTCAACCCCTGTATAAGAATTATGTTTCCAAAGAAATCTTAACAGAATTCGGAACAGAATTCAACACAATTCAAAACTCAAAAAATAAAAACTTACTACTGCTAAGTGGCTCTTGTCTCTAATCCTTGTCTAATCTATGTCTTCTTCATAATGTAGTACTCCTTACTACTTACTTCAATGAGTTTTGGATATGGCTCAGACATGCATTAGAGACATGATCCACTTTACGGTAGTAAGAGTTGTTATTTTGTGAATTGTGTCGTTATTGCAGAGGACCATCGGTATGTATGTATATCCGATTCTCTACATTTTTTTTTAAGATTTTGGGATCATTGATTTTCAGGGTAGTTTAAGTAAATTTATAAGTAACTCTTCGAAACAATGCAACCTTACATTAATTAAAACAAAACTAAATGCGTATCATACTCTACAGTTGCAGAACAAACTCACCAAGGATGGTTACTTTGTAATTAAAAGCGATTTAACACGATCGCAGCAAATGAATTTGGCAGATGCATTAGAAAAACTACGTAATCTTATACGTGAATATGAGGTAGAGAAGGCAGTGCCGACTGAGGAAACCTTAGAGAAGCTGCGTCGCAGGTAAGTCAACTGAAAGCCATTGAAATAGCATTTTTAAGCTCCAATAACCCCAAATGATTTTCGTTAACAGACAAGAAAAAGCCGCGCGTGAACGATTACTCGTAAAACGCCAGAGATCCCTTACCAAGTCCACGAGACAAGGACCTAGCATAACCGATTTGTAGAAATATTTTCAAACGAAAAAAAAAAATCATTAGAAAATGTTGCATGTAAAAAGTTAATACAACATTTGTAAATTGTTTTAGTTAAAGAAGAACAAAATGATACAAATAAACATTACATTTAAATTGCAAAAATGCAAGAACCACTTGTATGAATAAATAGCGTTCACGCGTATGCAATGGTTAACTCTTTGCCTTCATGTAAGCAGAGTCCTCTAAGCCTCCATCTCGTCATAGTTAATAGCAAGCCTTATTGGGTCCTCTGCCGGTGTTACAGTAAATTTGCGCCGCTTACGTTCGCCTAAAGTGGATGTTGGCGTATTTGTCATTGAAGATTGTGAAGATGGATTAGCTGTAGATGAATCTGCTTCGCCAACTGCATTCAGAATGTTAATAATGGGACAATTCGTTTTAGTGGGCATTGTTGCACAGCGTTGCAGCTTTTAAAAATTAATAAAAATATAACTTTATATCCACTGAAAATAATAAAAGAATAACAGTAATATTTACATTGCCTGCTACTACATCACACGTTTTGCTATAATTGCTTGCGATCGTTGTTGGGTGGCGATTTAAACGGTTTCTGGAAAGAAGAAAATATGAGAAAAAGGTACATTTTTTGTTTAAGCAAACTGAAAAATATGTTAATGCCGTTTTTATTTCATTGACTTGCCTCCTATATTGCAATGTCTGCTGTTGATTCATCGTGGAATATAAACGTTCGATTTGATGTACAGTTGAATAGTTCTCTCTTATAACATCAAGTGCGGATCTATCAAAGAATTGCCTATTTCCTATCGGAGACCAAGTGTTTTGATAGGAGGCATCATCCAAACGTATTGTCCGTAATAAATTATAATCAATACCCAATGTTTTTTGATCTTCTTGAGGAAGATTGGCAAACTCATCGATTAATGCCGTATTTGTATCAATGCCGTTCTTGGGAAGGCCTCGCGCGATTTTTATGTCATGTTTCCAAAATTCGCGATGGCTTCGTGAAATGGCAGGTGCTATCTCCTTTACTTTCAGCACCAAAACGCCCATAACGTATACGCAGATTATATTCGAAATTGTCACCAGCATACTAATGGCACCCAAAATGACTAATTCAGTGGCTTGATTATCAGAAAAAGTCCGGGACTTTACAATTAGATTAAATCGAGAATTATCGGTCTCGAAAAGTGTATAAATAAGCGCTAAGGCCCAGAGGACGCCCTATAGAAATATCAAATAAGTATTTACTTTTGTCCGTATTCAATTTTCATACCGCATTAATGGCAGGTGGCAAAAGTGATGCCGATATTGCTACACCCACCAGCGACCCAATATTACCACCCAAAATAGCTACAGCAGCTGCAGCACCAGAAGGTATTGCCGTAAAGAGACCAACCAGCAAGGAGTGCAATTCGCTGCGTGAAAGCATTTCAGCTGTTAATCCTTCGCCATTGCCATAACGTTCATCAATCGAACAGATAACTATGCCGAAAATAAAGCCAACGATTGTGGTAATTAAAATGCCAATTAACTCATTTCTTAGGCCCAAAGTACGCAGAGCGGAATCTTTGATAGCTGTACCAAAAATTGCTGCTATTATTGGACCCATTAACGGAGAAACGAGCATGCTTGCAGCTAGAAAGATGGTACTATCCTCGGCCAAACCAATGGCTGCCAAAATGCTGAAATATAAATGCGTTTAAAGTTGTTAAAAAAATATAGAAAACTTTAACTTACGTTGCTGATATAAGCAAGATGAGGAAATCAAATGTAATCGCTGCATCTTGGCGTACATCTCGTACGATTTGTTGAACATTCAATCGACTTCTTACCGAGTTCATGAAACTATTCCAAACACTTTGTTTTTGTTTGTTGAAATTTCTATAAATTTGAGAATACGTTTGAATTAGAGTTGAGTAGAATAAACTAATTTAATAAATGCGTACATTTCTTCGTTATCTTGCGGTAAATCGCATTCTGTATCTCGTCTGGAGGTTTTCGAGACCAAGCAATTCATTACCGACACAGTGGAACCAACACGATCACCAATACCCCACTCGTGAAGTTTGTCCAATAAATTTTCATAATTCTCATTAAACTCGACTGTAAATATTACCTTTAAACATAAATTAACGATTCTTATTTGAGAACTTTAAAATAGCAATTAAAAGCGGAAAAGCCTTTAGTTTTGAAAAAGAAAGTAGGTAAGAAGCTTGAAATTAGCAAAATTTAAACCTAAGCTGGTTAAGTTGAGCTGCAGGGGGAATAATTGAATTTTTACGTGCACTTACTTGATACGTTCGACCATTGGTATCTTTCGTCCAAACTGCATTGAATATTTGTGCTTTTTTCAAAATTTCACGCAACACCCACTCCATACACGAGTCACTGGGTATATTTATTTGTGATTCATCTCGATTCCTCTTTCGACTTGAAGATGTAAGAATCTCACGTAAGCCTTCCCAAGATTTTTGTATGAATGGGGCTCCATCCTTGCCGGCAAAGAAAAATCAAATTCGATATACATGTATAAAAACAGGCTTAATTTTGGTAAACAATTCATTAGCCTCACCACATTTTCAAACTCAACGTCTTTTGCACTATCTGAAGCGCTACCTGTGCTACTTTCTCGTACCGCAGAGTGCTTACTTAGCAAATGTCCAGCATCACTAATTAAGAACCTGTTTGCATCAGATTTTCGACGCTTCGGAAATGTGCTATATTGTTGTTGATCAAGCGTAAAGACGGTTAAAGGATTTTCCATCTTAGCACCCAAGCTGACAACATCAATTTGTTCGGTATTCCCTGCCAGTTGTTCCGGTACGTTGATGGTAACAGCTGCTGTGGCTGTTGTTTCATTGGAAAAATTGGATAATGTTGCAGATGTTGTTGTGGTTGTTGTTGCTGTTGTGATCGGTGTAGAAATACTAAGTTTATCATCGCGTACATAATTAGCGCCTGCTTCAGATTTTTTGCTTCGTAACTCACTACGCAGCTTTAATTCTTCTGCTTGTGTCGGTATAGTAATTATAAATAAAACAACTGCCATTTTAAAATAAATATTTTAATAATTTTTTTCGAAACAAACAAACAAATTATGAAATAAATTATTTTGATTAAACAATTTCCAATAATAAAGGGGTTTTTGTATTAGACAAAAAAAAAACATAACAATTTGACGACACTACACAATAATTGACAAACTATAATTAAATACTACGAATAGCTAGTAACGGTACATTAGGAGAGATGCGGTGGAGAATTGGAAGACTTTCCACTGTTGCTTTCGGACGAGCTATTACTACTTTGATCCGAGCGCTGCAGAGAACTCTGAATGTGGAAAAACATTTAAGTTTTCTTTATTTTAATTTACATACATACATACAAGTTCGTATTTTAATTTATTTTATGTGTATAAAAAGTCGTAACAACTTTAAAATTTTTCATTACATCTTAGGAAATTTCCTCTGTTATGCAGCTTCACTTATATTTTTCGTTTTTAAATTTCTAGTTCGCCCATTCTTTTCCCCTTTGAAGTGCCTTTTAAAAAATTTTACAAAAATGTTTACTTATTCGAACTGGGCTTGAACTAGTCCTGAAGTTGGCTCTAAGTGGACCTGAAAAGGTCTTGAACTAGTCCCGAAATGGCTACCTAAACACAACTTAACAATTTTTTTCTCACCTATAACACTGGTCTACAAGGGTTTTGCGAATAAGACGGGACCTGGTGTTTCCGAACGGATTTTTCGTGCTGAACACGAATCTGGGGTCCAAAACTTCCCATCACGTCACGTTTTCGAGAAAAAAGGGGTTGAAACCCCTAAAAACAGCGTTTTTGGCCATTTTTGAAAAATTGTAGAGCTGAACCCTGACGTGCTACAAACTTTGTATATGTCAGAAATTAAAGGCTAAATCGTGCCCTTTCGAATGAGCCCTATGCCGAATTAATCGCATGCACCCTTAGATCAGGGGGTGTATTTGTGTCTAGGAGTCCAATTTTTATATCCACCATATTCGACCCGTCATCTTAAATTTTTAAAATCTAACTGCAGATTCGTAATCAGCGACTTTTAATATAGTTAAAACCTTGGCATTATTAATTTTCTATGATCGTTTAAGATTAAATTCTTTCTGTGATCAATTTTTCCTGCACCCCTAAACACAAATACACCCCCTGCTTTAAGGGTGCACGCGATCAATTCGGCATAGGGCTCATTCGAAAGGGCACGGTTTAGCCTTTAATTTCTGATATATGCAAAATTTGTACCACGTCATGAGGGGTGAGGGGTCGGACGCATGCTTCAGCTATATACAACGTGGGATATAGCAGTCAAGATGGTGAAGGTACTCCGAGTTAACCTTCACCACTGTAAAGCAGCATCAGCTGCACTGCTGCCCCGAATGAACATCCAAAGGAGTAGCCGATATCGTCCTAATCCAGGAACCATGGGTGGTGGGACGAAACATGTGGGCTGAAAGCGCCCGACTACATACCGGTAAGTAGAGCCTCAACGAAAAAACCCAAGGACGTGTATCTTGATAAGTACTAAACTAAAATGTGTCTCTTTCTTCCAGAATTAAGCGATGAGAACCAACTAGCTACTACTAAAATATATATATACTCAGACAGCCAGACGGCCCTTATGGCGCTTAACTCTGTCACTATAAATTCGGAAACAGTTGCCGGCTGCCGCAAACCACTTAACGTGGTGGCAGAGCAGTTCGCTTTGTACTTGGTATGGGTACCGGGGCACAGTGATTAATCAGGAAATGAGAAGGCAGACGAGTTTGCAAGAGGCGGTACGTCCATTCCACTTTCACCAGCCTAGAAGAGGATAGGTATGCGTTTCCACGACAGTCGGGTCTACGTAGCCGGAACGACCCAGATTTATATTTGGCCAAGGACTGTCACTCCACCAACACTCCCCAAAAACTTTGGGGAACTTATATGCTGATACAACAACAATAGCAACAGGATAGGTATGCCACTCGCTCCCTGCAAACTCTTACTAAGGATACCAGATGGAAGTGCACTGAAATCTGCAATACAACGAAGCTAACGTGGCCGAATTGAAATATGCGGAGATCGAGAGAAAATCTCACTCTTAATAGAGGCGATATAGCACTGACCATTG